TAAAGCGCCTGCTTAGGCAGAGCACAGGCTGGGGTTTGATCCCTGGGTGCCATGCCGGCCCCACCTCTGGGATGCGCTGGGAAGGGGATTAAGACTGGGTGTGGTGGGGTGCGCCTGTAATCCCAGTGCTTGGGGGGCTGAAAACAGGAGAATCACTAGGCATCTGATCTACGTAGTGAGACCCTGTAGACCTTGTACCAAATACATAAAAAAATATATATATATAACCTAACTGAACTTTAATAAAAAATTAAATGACTGAGCTTAAGTTGCAGCATGGCAGAAGGTGAATGTGAAAGAGAATTTGAAAAATTCCTTGCGCCAGCTGCTCGTCCATTTATATAAAGGGTGTTAGAGTTTCTTTTAGTTTTTGATACTCAAAACCTCAGTGGTCTGAGCTCCTTAGTTATAATCACTCTATTCTACTCCTTGCGATCTGTGGAAGGCCACTCTCAGTGGACCCAAAAAGTTTTGATAATACCATCCATTCTTTATCTCTTCTTCACTGTCTACCTTCATCTTAGTTGTTTTTTTTAGGTGTTTTCTAATATTTTGAGGATAGCAGAAATTTTCTCTCTGGAATTTATGTGTATTAGTTTCTACATGTGCATTGTGGCAATGAATCTAAAATCTATATTGTTTTGTTTTGTTTTCCAGATGACAGAAGTCAAACTATACTTCCCCTAGTGAAATCATTTTGTGAAAAATCTTTTAAAGCAGATGAATCAATTCTTATTTCTTTATCTTTTCATTTAGGAAAACTATGCCATGGACTATATGGTATGATATATCCTAAGAATTTCCAAACTATGGATTATTTTTCTATTCTTTTTTCTTTTACCTTAGGCACTGAATTTAAGTTCTTAAATTGCAAAACATATCCTTTAAATGTATAAACTTTGATGATATCTAGAATTTTGATAACGTAGTTTAGAGCACATTTAGAAGTGATTTTTTTCTTGATAGAACCTATTTGAAAGAACAAGTTAGAGTATAAATAGCCTTTTAAGTTTCAGGATATTTTGCACCTACTGATTGGTATGTGATAATAGAAGCTCAAGTTTATAACTATTGGTACAGAATAAGTATATTCTTCTTAACTATTCATTGAATTAATAAATGTATTATATAATTCACTTTAAAATGTAAAATACATTTGGCATTTTGGATCTATTACTTAATTTCAGGCATAGGATAATGATGTGATAATTAAGTTATAATCTTTTAGCATAGTCACAGATTTTCTTTTTGTGGGTTGCAGGCATTTAGTACATGGCTGAGAGATAGTTTCAATAATGTACTTCTAGCTCACTGGGATAGTTAATGAATCTAGAGGTATCCGTTGATCAAAACTATTTTCAGTTCAGTTTTTTCTTTCAGAGTCAATGCGTAAGCTCCTTTTCTGCAGACATATACATCTTTTCTCCAGGAAATTTTAGACTACTTACCGTAAATAAATAGCGATATGTATAAGTAGGCATGATATATAGTAGCTTATTAGTTTTATGCAAGCTGAAGAAATCAATATAAGTATGATTTCTGTATTATGTAGTTTGTACTTTTAAAAGTACAATATTACAAAAATGAGCATATGATGAACCTTTGTGATCTGTTAGGTTTCTTCATAATAGTATTTGTATTGCTTTTATTTATGTACTTATTTTATGGTTTTTATCTGTATCCATTTATTTAAATTCATGGTTCTAAATATGGTTTATTTGTGCTTTGATTTTTTTCTTTTTAATCATTATCTTTAAGAGAAATGTTGAACACAGATTTTGTGTTTGTTTAGGAATATTTACTCCAGATCAACACTTGAGATTTTTGGAGTTTTATAAGAAACTTTGTACATTGGGTTTGCAGCAAGAAAACGGCCACAATGATAGCCAGATTCCTCCCCAAATCTTGGAGCAGGAGAAGAAGTATGCTTCAGTGCGGAAGAACTGTGCCTATAACTTCCCGGTAATACGTCTGGCGTGCACGTTCACTGCTTGTTTTCGCTGTAGCTTTTCAGCATGTGAATAGATAACATCAAAATATCGCCATACTGACATCTGCTGCTTAGCGGCATAGCTGCTATATACAGGACGTACCCATTAAACACAAGTATATGTGTAATTTATATCTCCTGCTATGCAGAGTTGGAATTATGTGCATGTTTTTGGGTTGTCCAACTGTGATTTCTTTTTCCTTTCTTTCTTTCTTTCTTTCTTTCTTTTTTTTTTTTTTGGCGGAACTGGGGATTGAACTCAGATCCTTGAGCTTGCCAGGCAAGCACTTATTCTACTGAGCTATCTCCCAGCCCCCCAACTGTGATTTCTAATTAAATTATGATTTAGAGAATATGATTTTGGCTTAAGTAAGTGATGCTTAGATATTAATGCATTTTTTTTTCTCTCTTTCCCATTTGTCTCCCTTCCACCTCCACCAGGCCATGATTGTTTTTGTTGATCCTAAGAACTTCCATATGGAGCTCTATTCTACATTCTTCTGCCTTTGTCATGACCCTGAAGTACCCGTCAGATACACTATTGCTATTTGCTTTTATGAAGTAAGTCTGAAGACTCAATACTGCTATCCATTTGCTGTTAATTCTAGATGTGCTGCATGCTTGTTTAATATTTTGTACACTTCTGTTCATAAATTTGTTCTAACATACAGACTCCACATTTCTTTCCTGTTCTAGTCTTAAATCTTTTAAAAAAAATTTCCCATGATCTTCTCCTTTCGTATGTCTTCAGAATCCATTTATCTAAATGCATTTTATTCATGTATTCATGTTCTCTCTCTCTCTCTCTCTCTCTCTCTCTCTCTCTCTCTCTGGGAATTGAACTCAGAACTTCACACTTGCCAGGCAGGGACTGTGCCACTGAGCTATATCCCTGGCCCCATTTATTCATTTATTAAACTATATGTTCAACATAGCTAAGCCAAGTGCTTACTTTAAGCCAGGCATTGATTTTGGTACATGAGAATAAACCAATTTTTATATGTTTTCTACTATTTATATTAAATTTTATACCCACAATCATGCAGTAGAACACATGCAGAATTGAGACAAATGATATTTATTGCTTTTACTGAAAAAGAATTGTTTCAAGAACATAGTGTTTAGATTGAGCTATCACAGCTTTCCAAAAGTTTGAACAAAAGAAGAGAATGTGCTTAACTTACAAAGAATGTGCTTAACCATTTTTAACCATTGAAGTTGGATTTGGGGCTTGTTTCCTTGGATGAGAGCAGTGAGCACACCGCTGTAGTTGCAGTGCACTCAGAAAAGTTGACAGTTTCAGAAGTGTCGCATAAAAACCTGTGAGTGGCATGGTAAAATAGTTTTTTCCCTATAAGTTGTATAATATATCTTACTTTTAGTGAGAGTAGCTCATGCTTTTTGTACTTGTGTAGTTAATTAAGATTCTTTTGGTTCAATAATATGCTTTTCTTCTTTAACATATTTTCTGGTATGGATAATATATGCTAATTGTACAAAACTGAGAAAATGTTCCCTGTAAGTGGTACAATTATCTCAGTGTTGCACAGTTATATCATCTTTGTAAATACACCTACTGAAATCTGCTTTCATAAGAGGGGCAAGGGCAGAGTCTGAGCTGAGCCTCCGAGACAAGGAGCGATGTGGGCTGTACACCACGGACACATACATTTTTAGACCAGTTGTCTCCAGAGAAGGTTGCTGGAAATTGGTGTTCAAGAGTACAGTAGCTATACATACTTGCTTTCTGTTTGTGTGGCCTTCTAGATCATTCCTTTAATCTTTCATTTTATTTATATTCTATACTGGATATAATATAGAACCAGATGAACAAACATATTGAAACATATGTCTGTATACAAAAGTGTTTCATGAGGAGGTGTGAATTTGGAGATCTTGATATACCTTTTTTTTTTTTTGATGTACTTAGTACGGGGTCTACAGGGTCTCATTACACAATTCCATAGTGATCCTCCTGTTTTCAGCCTCCCAAGTGCTGGGATTATAGGTGTTCACCACCACGCCCAGTCTCAATTGCTGTTTTAGTGCCCTGGGGGTGGTGGGGCTGGCAAGGCATGCCGGGATCGAACCCCAGTCCCTGTGTCTACCTAAGCAGGTGCTTTAATCCACTGAGCTAACTGGCCGGCCTTTGATCTACCTTTCTGCGAATGACTAGAATTCATATTCTTCTTACAGCTATACCACATAGGTAGGCTAAGAGTGATGTTTAACTGCCCAAAATTAAGGGCCAGTTTTAGTTTGTCCTTTTAAATAATAAAGACCCACTGGTGAATTTAAATTTTTCAAATCTAGTGTTAAATTCTGTCTTAGTTACTCTTCTCTCATTGCTGGGACAAATCCCTGGCACCCAAAATGAAGGAAGGAAAAGTTTATTCAGCTCACAGTTACTGGAGGTTTCTTTCAATCCATACTCAGCTGTCTCCAAGGCAGAGTAGCACAAGGCAGAGAGCAGCCTTTCGTGGTGGAGGCAAAGAGCAGAGAGCAAAGGGAGTGGCAGCGGCTCTGGCAGCTAGCTGGCCAGCCTCTCTCCTCCTTACACTGTTACCCAAATTACCTGCCCCAGGGCGGGTGCAGCATCCACACCCACGATAATCACAAATTCCAGAAGATGCCCATGACTGCATGAGATATTGGGGGGACACCTAGACAAACCAGAAGAATGCTAGATTCTGATATTTACTTGGCTATATTATAACTTTATTCTGACTTTTCAGGAAAACATTACTTTGAAAATATTTTCAACAAGTCATAAATAACTCACAGCAAAGGATTTAAAACACATTAAGTATTCAAGACAGAGTTTTCCTCCCAAATAAAACTTAACAGAGGCCCTGAACTTCCCTCCTTAAGGTTACATAGAAATTGGAGAATTTACCATTGCGGGCTCTGGGTTTGTCTGGAGAAGAAATGTGCTGCTTACAAGGGGAGCTGCATTATTTTGTACTCTTCAGAGTCCCTTCATGTTCATTAAAGTCTGTGATAAGGAAAGTAGAGTTGTTTTGCCTCCTTAGGAGTTACTACTACCCAAGTGTCACTATAGGTCATCAACACAAGAGGCCCTGGGAAGCTCAGAACTAGAATAAATACTTGTAGACCAGCGATAACCTCTGATTACTTAAAAATCAGAACCAGAAGCATCCATGGGCTTATTGCTGCTTTTGATGTGAAATTTATAATTCCAACAATATCTTTTGTCCTTCCCCACTGTAGATGTGCCTGTCCCAGCCTCCTCCGTCCACACACGCTAGGTTATGCAGCAGATGAAAAACGCTCACTAAGTTGTTTGTTTGTTTGTTTTTTATGAATCTAGGACAGGGTGGACAGGGTCTCACTACATAGATTGGACTCGTAGTGATCCTCCTGTTTCCAGCCTCCCAGGTGCTGGGATTACAAGTGTACAATACCATGCCCAGTCTCAGTCCCTGTCTTCAGCGCTCTCCAGGATCAGGGCCAGCATGACATGCTGGGGATTGAACTATGGCCACTGCATTAAGTTTTCTAGAAATCAAATTTTATATTTGTATTGTAGGAGACACTTCCAGATCCTCCTTTTGGTCCAAGAAGGCAATATTTGTAATCCCAAAGTTACGTTATTGGAATCCCATCAAGTTGATTCCAATCTACCACTTTCAATGCAACCCATGGCAAAAATAAAGACACAAAATTATATTTTCAATCATCGGGGAGTCAAGGGGCTCTAAGTCCGGCCACAAAGATGGCTTTTTGGAACCAAGAGAGCGACCCAGGGCCTCACCCGGTTTTTATTCAGTGGTGGAGTGGCTTGAGGAGGATTGACTGAGAATTGTGAGAAATAGGTGACTACTATGAGCTGAGCTAGGTGTCGCCTAAATTTACCTCTGCCATATGCAGAGAGGATATGCAGAGAGTAATGTGCATGATATAGTATCTAATGTTTTGGAAGTCTGGTGCTTCAGATTTGATGTAGTCTTTCAAGCCCCAGGAAGTCATGGCCTCTATCTCATGGTTCCATCCCAGCTGGCGCTGCCGCAGAGCATTAGCTCTTCCGACCTGTCTCGACCTCACTCACATTAAAGAGAAGCAGGTGTAGGTTACCAGGGAAATGCGCATGCCGCCTTCAGAGACTATCACCAGCACCTCAGCTAGACCAATATACATTGCCTAAGGCCAACTGAAGGATAAACAGGAGGCCTAGCCAGCTCTGTGCAGAACAATACGAGGACGTAGGGTCAGGCTCAGTCAAAATGCATTTTTAAAAATATGTATTATTTTTAACTTTAAAATATTAAATAGTCTTACATCTGAAAGACTTCATTGCTGTATTTTAGGTGTCTAAACTTCTGAATTCTGGAGTGTATTTAATACATAAAGAACTGATAACATTGTTACAAGATGAATCGCTAGAGGTAACATCTTCTTATTCTTTATCTTTTAATTCATTAGTGTTAAGTCTGAATAGGTCAATATCTTATTTTTCTTGCTTCTTCAGCATCGCATGAACTCTTGCAGCAGCTGACCCTGAGCTTCAGATCAGTATGCCACTGTCTCATTCACTGGGAATCAGCAGGAGGGTTTTTTATTTGTACTGGGAATCAAACTCACAACCTTATGCTTGCCAATGATGCCAACAGTTTGAAAAATATTAGGATTTACTTGTACAGCAATTAACCACTAAGAAGAATATATGCAGTGTATTATTTGTTGAAACTGTACTTCTGATTTGATTTGAAACTGTCTCATTGCTATCTGTTTATCAATAAAACTGTAGAAAAAAAATATTAGGATTTAAAGCATATTCAGGTTTTAAATGGAAGTGTAGATTTTTTTTTTATTAAGAAAGATTTAGGAAGTTTCAAGAAGTAGACAAAAGAGTACCTTTATTTCCAATCACTATTTTTTTGTATTTCTATTTTTTCTATATAAATATTACTATATTTTTCTCTATAAAAGCTTTTTTACATAATTATAATCATATATTGCATTTATATTTTTCTCTTAGCTTGTCTGGGGAATATTTTCCCTTCTGGTCTAGACTTATGAAGATTCTGAAATATTTCGTTTTGATGTTATAGTCCGTGTTTTCCACTCACATTCATGATTACTGGTTTGCTAACGCTCAGCTGGTCCGCATGTTGCTATCACTGAGCAGCGTAGCCAATTTAACCCCCCACCAGTGTCCGAAGGTAGTTTTTGAGCATTTAGCCAAGTGGAAGTAACTGTCTCTCGTGTAGACTGTCTCAACAGTATCAACAGTTACTAATTATTTTTACAAAGTAAATTGATCAAGGCAAAAATCTAATATTTTCCAGCAAGAAGATGGCAGATTAAAAAGCAGAAACCCCAAAATATTGTTTATTAAATAATACTATCTGAGTAGAAATTGACATGTATAGTTAGCTCACGTAGAAAGACATAGTCATCGCTGTAACAGTAATCAATATCGCTCTTAAAAGGTACTAGATGCCCTTATAGATCATCTTCCAGAGATCTTGGAGCTTATGTCAACTGGTAGTAGTGAAAGCAGTGTTCCAGAAAATAAGGTAAGCCCCATCTGTCAAAATGGCATTCGTAAGTATTGTCTTACCCTGCAGGTAGCTGTGAAGAAAGTGAAAGAATGTATGGCCGGGAGATAGCTCAGTGGCATAAGTGCCTGCCTGGCAAGTGTCAGGTCCTGAGTTCGAGGCCCAGTACCACAAAAAAGAAAGAAAGAAAGAAAGAAAGAAAGAAAGAAAGAAAGAAAGAAAGAAAGAAAGAAAGGCGGGCCGGCGGGCAGGCACATAAAATCTCCTTCCCCTGGGGTGGGGAATCTCCACCCTGCCGGACAGTAGCTGGGAATGGGGGTTGAGGATCCTCACCCAGCCCACAAATTTGCATGTAGAAAGGACAGACTCTTTCCCCACTTCTGAGCTTTGTTTGGGAGTCTCTGGGAATGCTGTCACCTGAAACACCTTAAGCTTCTGCACTGAATTCTTGTGCTGCTGCTGAGGAATCAGATGGTGAGGAGGCCATAGGCATCCGGTGAGTTTCTCCAGCAGGGAGGCGCCTGGGACCCCTGCCCACTGCCGGGTCCCTGGCTCCGCTGCTCCTCAGAGGCCATCTAGTGGTGGCACTGGCCTGTCGTGGTGCTAAGTGTCTAAAAAGCCACGCACTCTGCTCTTTGCTCATTTCTAATATTTCTGCTTTATGGGTGCATAAAGCGAAATGTGTAAATTTGAAAAACTCAGAAGGAAGGTACTTAAATACAGTATTTCTTATTGCTATGCATTGGCAATACATGATATTTGTTTGTTTTGTAGTATTGGTACATATATAAAATATATCTTGATCATTTTTAATCCCCTCCTTCCCACCACCTGATCTTTTCCCATCTCAAAAAAAAAAAGAAAAAAAAATCAAATACAGTGTATTTTGACCAATAAACTTAATATTTTTATAGTAAATAGTACTTGCAACATAATAAGTGCCTGTAAAAGTCTCTAGGCTTTTGGACAGCTTAAATTTCGTCTCCAATTCTTATATAACAATTCTTTATACTAGTACGATCCATATTATGTTTAGAGCTTGTATTTAGACTTTCAGCATTAATGATCATTTCAAGAATAGGAAGGGAGGACGAAGGGTAGGAATTTAAGTCAAAGCTCGTCAGTGGTAACATGTATCCCAAGTCTCGCGTTAGCTGGAAGAATTGCCGCCCTAGTCAACCTGACGCGAAGAAACGCTTGATTAGTCCAGTCTCTGTTTTGAAATCTGATTCCGAGAACCATAAATTTTGCATAGGAATTTTTTTTAAAGTATTTCATCTCACCAGACAGCCGTTCCCTGTGACAACTGAGCTGCCTCCTGGACTCCTTCCCCAGGGCATTTTAACACGAATGCCCCAATGCCCCATTGGTGGATTTAATCCCTGCGAACTCATGCATCCCTTTTCTTTTCAGCTGTCCTCTCTGCCTGACTTGATCCCCGCACTCACGGCTGCTGAGCAACGAGCCGCAGCCTCTCTGAAGTGGAGAACCCATGAGAAGCTGCTGCAGAAGTATGCGTGTCTGCCACATGTCATATCAAGTGATCAGATTTATTACCGTTTCTTACAAAGAATGTTCACAATCATGATGACAAATGTGAGTTTATACCTTTTGTCTTGAGTTTACAGTTGCCAGATTCTTTACAGTCTCAAAATAGTGTGAAAAATGCAGTGTGTTCCGTTCCTCCCAGGGGATGGCGTCTTCTCAGAGCTCCAAGGAGGGAGCCTTGCTCCCTTAGCTCCCCCGCGCGCAGTTCTCCTTTCCACTGTCCCCTACCTGGCTAGAGGCAAGTGTGCGTAGGTGGGGTCCGCACTTCTGCCTCGTGCTATGCTGCAGGGAAATGTGCGTCCTGATAGGCCCGGAACAAGGGACCTCTCCTCGGAGGTGCCCCTCTGATGAATCCCGGTCTCATTGTCTCACCCTAAGAGGCAATTTTCCCAAGTCTTTTTTTTTAATGGAACCGGGGATTGAACTCAGGCC